ATGTTAGTACACATAATGAGAGGAAAAGGCTTGGAAAATTTAATACTCACAGAATTAAGTGTTGGCAGGAGAAACGGAGTAAAACAACGCATAACTTTTAGAAATGGATGGCAGAACAAAGTTTGGGAGTGATAACAAAAAGAAAAAAAAACTTAAAAGACATGAAAATTGTGGAGAGCCATGATCTACAAAGTCCTGAAGGCATACAGCACATAAAAGAAGAAAAATGAGCTTGCGGAAATGGGTGGCGGAAGAGAGTTTAAGAGAAATAAAAAAAAAAAGACAATATTATTAAGAGCTACAAAGGACAGGAAGTTGTGGAGGGCCATGATGGACAAAGTCCTGAAGGGACAAATCGCATAAAAGAAGAAGAATTAGCCTGCATAAATGGATGGCTGAATAATGTTTAAGAGAAATAACAAAAAGACGAAATTTATTAAGAGCTACAAAGGACAGGAAATTGTGGAGGGCCATGATCGACTAAGTCCTGGAGGGACGTGGCACACAGAAGAAGTCTTTTTCTTCTTCTTTTTCCACTTCTCTTTTGTTTTCTTATCGTTTTATTCTTTCTTTTATACCTTTCCTTCTCTTCTTGCTTTTACCTGTTTTGCTCATCAGTATTCATTTTTTTTTTTTTCTGCTTTTTATTCCACACAACCTTTTTCTTCTCTCGACTTTATTCGGCATTTTTCTCGGCCATTTTTCTCTTTTCCCATTCACCTTCACTTTTTACTTCTTTCTCGTCAATTTATTCCTCTCCCTCTTCTTCAATTCTTTCTCTCTCTCTCTCACTTTTCTTTATACTTCTTCAACTTTCTTCTCCAGATCCTTCTTGCTCACAACTTTATTCTTTTCCATTAATCTTCACTTTCTTTTCGTTTTCTCATCATTCTTCAACCTTCTTCTTCTTCCTTCCGACAAGAGTGTTCTCTCTATACCATCTTCTTCTCATTCTTCTTCTTCTTTTCCATTTCTCGCTTCCAGTTCTTTTTTCACCTTATCTTATTTTCACCATTTCTCTTCTTCTTTATATTTTCTTTCTTCAAATTCCTTCTTCTTTATTCTATATTTCTCCTCTGCCCTTCTCTAATAGCGCCAATTCTTCTTCTTCTTCTTCTTCTTCTTCTTCTTCTTCTGCTACTTTATTCCATATTTCTCCGCTGCAACTTCTCTCATAGCGCCAATTCTTCTTCTTTCTTCTTCTTCTTTATTCCATATTTCTCCGCTGCCCGTCTCTCATAGTGCCAATTCTTCTTCTTCTTCTTCTTCTTCTTCTTCTTCTTCATCTTCATCATCATCATCATCTTCTTCTTCTTCTTCTTCTTCTTTATTCCATATTTATGCTCTGCCCATCTCTCATAGCGCCATTTCTTCTTCTTCTTCTTCTTCTTCTTCTTCTTCTTCTTCTTCTTCTTCTTCTTTATTCCATATTTAACCTCTGCCAATCTCTCATAGCGCCATTTCTTATTCTTCTTCTTCTTCTTCTTCTTCTTCTTCTTCTTTATTCCATGTTTAACCTCTGCCAATCTCTCATAGCGCCACTTCTTCTTCTTCTTCTTCTTCTTCTTCTTCTTCTTCTTCTTTATTCCATATTTATGCTCTGCCAATCTCTCATAGCGCCATTTCTTCTTCTTCTTCTTCTTCTTCTTCTTCTTCTTCTTCTTCTTCTTTATTCCATATTTAACCTCTGCCCATCTCTCATAGCGCCACTTCTTCTTCTTCTTCTTCTTCTTCTTCTTCTTCTTCTTCTTCTTTATTCCATATTTATGCTCTGCCCATCTCTCATAGCGCCATTTCTTCTTCTTCTTCTTCTTCTTCTTCTTCTTCTTCTTCTTCATCATCATCTTCTTCTTCTTCTTCTTCTTCTTCCACTTTCCATTCTTCCGTTTCTTATCTTTTTCTTCTGATCTGTCGGTTCTTCTTTTCTTTTTCTTTTTTTTCTATCTCTTCTTCTTCTACATTCTCAACGGATGCTTTTTTCTTTACTTTTTTCTTCTTCGTCTGTTCGTTAGTATTCTTCTTGTTGCCTGTCCATGCTTCTCTTCTTCCTTCTTTCTTTTCTTCTTTTTCTTCTTCTTCTTCCGCGTTTTTTTTTATATTTAACCCTTATGTCCATTTTTTCTTCTTTTTGCATTTATATTCTTATTTTCTTTTCAATGGTTGTTGTTGCTATTGTTATTGTTCTTCTTTTTCTCCTTCTTTTTCTTCTTTGTTTTCTTCTTTTCTTCTTTTTTCTTTTTCTTCTTCTTCTTATTTTTCTTCTTCTTCCTCCTTTTTTCGTCTTCTTCTTCTTCTTCTATTGTTTATTTCTGTCACTCCTCTTCATACATTTTCTTTTCTATCCAAAATATTTTTCTGTCGACTCCATTCTTCAACACTATTTCTTTTTTCCTCGTTTTTTTCTACTTATTTTTCTTTTATATTTTACACTTATTTCTTCGCTTATAGGGGGAACTGCACTTTTTGTTTTATACCGTTTTACGCTAAGCAGGGAAAATAACATAAAAACATCACATCGGACGCAATGTCCTACAAGTTCACCTTGCGAAAAAAAAGTACACTGTAACAATTTCGATTTGAATTTAAAAAAATGTATCACGAATAGGATTTATATTTTAAAAATATATCACAAGTTTCATTTCTACATCATGATACAGTAAATCCTAATACCCAAGATAGATTCCCAATCTTCACGAAAAGACATACTTCCCACAATTCCTTCTTTGCCATCTGCCCATTCTTCCGTTTCTCTCCATTTTTTCCTATCTGTCGCTTCTTTTTCCACTTATTTTCACAAATTTCATTTCTTCATCATGATACAGCAAATGCTAAAACCCAATATAGATGTCCAAATGTTCACGAGAGGACATAATTAACGTTTTGTTAGTCACCTCGGCTTTCCGAAAATGGATATCCCCCTGAGATGTTCTTCACACACCCCAAAACAGAAATGTTTATAGTGTTACAATTATGTAAAATATTGTCGTACTGGTGAAATACATAACATAACCGGCAATTTCGGTTACAATAGACATTAAATCAAAACTTGAACGGAAGATATTATTCATTGAAATAAAAATTATAATAAATTTGCTGCATAAACATATGTTGTAAGTTGTAGGAAAACACACGCATACAATAATAGAAAAAAGGTTTTATTCATCAAAAATACCTACAATATATTTCCTTGAATAGAAAGATATTACATTAGCTAAACGGAAGACAAAGCCTTTAGTGAAAGCAAAGGGAAAACTTCTCAAAAGATCTAAATACCATTAATCCAGAGAAAATCTGAATAGCATTAAAAAAATAAAAAAGTAACCACCGACCTACACAGAAAAGTACTCGATAAGTACATTGCGTAGACAAAGAAACATATGCTTGACAATGTTAATTCCTGTGAAAAGATGGTCCTAGGCGTAACCCGATTTTCAATATATATAATGGACTCTCCCGTCGGTTTCGACGTATGAGAATCTGACAACTGATTCAGTTATGAATTTTATGCGAAAATCTTAAGTGGCACTTAAGACCCGCTATTTATTTACAAAGGAGACCGCATATGGAGCAAGAGCGAGGATTGTGGGATGAAATCACTGTTAGATTGGATGACCTTTTAGATCTTGCTCTCGCTTCTTGAAGATGATTCAGACTAGCATATTGAAAACTGCCGCGTCCACTGAAACACTCTACCCGCTCCTAGGCTAAGCGCTCGAGGGTGTTACGAGATATATTGACAGCTGACAATTTGCTCTTCAGCTTGTCTTTGTATCTTAGCCATGCGCATCCTACATTCTTGTATTACTGATCTATCAGGTCATCCCATAAGTTCTGTCCAAATTTTAATTTTCTGATAAAATGAACTAAATTTAAAGAGTATTTTATAATATCTAATAGAGCTGAACATTATTTTTATGTTTAGATGCATTTAAACTGATCAAATTTTATTTCAGAGAACAATAAAATTAATTTTGCTTGATTAAGACCCTGCTAACATGGAAGTACCCAAGAATCATTTGAGGCACATAATGCTTTGAGTTCAAGAAAGGAAACTCAGCAGCCGAAGCGGCTAGAAACATTCACTCAGTTTATGGAGAGGAATGTGTGAATGAAAGAACTTGCAGAAGATGGTTTGCAAATTTCACAGGTGGAGATTTCACCCTTGAAGATGAAGATCGAACCGGACGTCCAGTTGAGTTTGATGAAAAGCTTCTTGAAGCAGCCCTTGAAGAAAATCCTGCTTTATCAGTTGAGGAATTGGCAGTGGTTCTCAGTTCAAGCAATACAACTGTTCGTCGTCATCTTCAACAACTTGGAAAAGTTCATAAACTTGGAAAATGGGTGCCTCATGAATTGTCTGAAAACAACGTCAAATCCAGAGTTGACATCTGCTCTTCTCTCCATTCTCGCCAACTTGTTTCACCTTTTTTGGATAGACTTGTGACTGGCGACGAAAAATGGATCTTTTATCGAAATGTTAAGCGTCGTAGACGGTGGCTTGGTAAAGGGGAAGGACCCCAGCCACAGCCGAGAAGGGAACTTCATGGGCAAAAGATTCTTCTTTCAATCTGGTCGGACCACCAAGGAATAATCCACTTTGAATTCTTACCACCTAATGCAACAATTAATGCTCAAATATACTGTCAGCAATTAGAACGTTTGAACCAAGCTTTGAGGAAAAAAGACCTGCTCTAGTGAATCGAAAAGAGGTGATGTTTCATCAGGACAATGCGCGACCCAACACAGCAAGAATCACGTCACCAAAGATCGAAGAACTTGGTTGGGAGAAAATTCCTCATCCACCTTATTCTCCCGATCTTGCTACTTCAGACTATCATTTGTTTCGTAGCTTACAGAATCATTTGGAAGAAACAGGTTTTGTAAGACAGGAAGAGGTTAAAACTGACATTTGTGAGTTCTTCGAATCAAAGCCAAAAGAATTTTACAGTAATGGAATTAGTAAGCTTATTAATAGATGGAAGGAAGTCATAGATAATCAGGGAAAATACATTGTTGATTGAATTTGTAATTAAATGTAACATTTGGTCACTTGTTTTCTTTATTCAAAATTCGAACAGAACTTATGACCTGATAACTGGCTGTACATTAGGATCTTTGGTATCTTGTCATCACAAATTCTCAAGACATGACCAGTCCATCGTAACTGAGTCTGTATGAAGAAAAACATTTTAATATTAAAAGAGGAAGAAAGAAAAAAGCCTTATATTGATTTTTTCTTTTTCTTTCTTCCTCTTTTAATATTAATTTTTTTTTTCCTATTCTTTTTTCTTTTTTCCTCTACCCTTTAACTTTTGTCTGGATAAATTGACTCCATGTATTAAGATAACGTCGGGCTAGAGAGATGGACATATTTTTTTTTATATTCATGAAATAAACTATAACCGAATGTATTTTTCAGGATTCTGCACCCATTATTATATAGCTCTGTTACATTGAACTTTCTTTGGATTAATGTCCTCTTTAGAATTATCCCTACTAATTATCAATAGACATCATATATATATATATATATATATATATATATATATATATATATATATATATATATATATAAATTAAATGGCACAGGAGTTAACGGTAATCAGCTAGGCCGTTCTCACAGAGGGGAGGACCTTCCATTGTACTCTGATTGGGCTGATCTTTACGATCATCCAAAATGTTGGCGACTCGGGTGCGCTAGTTCTTTTTCTTTATATATAGGAGGAACAGTGAAGTATTGGGTAGCGGCCTGGATTAAGGAATCGGAGAGCCGAGTTCGAATTCCAGTCGAAACCATTACATTCACTTACGTGCTTATACCCTTGGGAAAGGTATGAATCCTCTTCTTCTATAGCTATAGGTTAATACTAGGACAGACCGGGTTCTATAGCCTTGGATAGCAACTAGTCTAGGAGAAGGACAACTCTGAATTCAAAACTTGCAAAGGGTTGTTTGGGGACCTTGTGGCACGTAGTGCACCAGGTCTCTGTATCCGGCCCTTCAATAAGTGTGGTTGGTTCTGCACAAAGCTTTCATCACTATAATCAAATCATATGTGCTGGTATCTGGGCTGTCAGTTCCTAGGAACGGAGTTGCTTGACCCTCATACGTTGAATACGACTGGCGAATCCACTATATATATATATATATATATATATATATATATATATATATATATATGTAAGCAAATATATGGATATAGATCCGACAGTATGAAGAAAAATACAGAAAAAACAAACAAAAATTCTAACATGCAATTATGATGTATTAATGTTAATATAAAGTCGACGTCGGACGTTTCGGTCTATTTAAGACCATCTTCATGGACATTTTTCATTTAAACATAATTAACATTAGAACATATAAAAATTTAACACAAAAGATGATCGACATAAGAGCACAACTAATCCAAACAGATAGCTGATCTTGTATAAAAATTTCAGTTAAAAATGTCGGAAAGATGTTTGCTGTGTGGAAATATGTATGCGTTATATATCTGATAAGAATAGCTAAAGTGAACTTAAGTTTTTCTTTTCTTCGGTTTTCTCTTTTCCCTTTTCTCTGCCTCTCTTACATATGTTTTATATTTCTCTTTTGTTCTTTTTACTTTCAGTTCAGTTCGTTTCGCTCGTGCAATGATATATTTTGATATATATTCTTTTTTTGTTATTATGAGTTTTGACCCCAAGAGTTAGTCGTTTACTCTGTTTTTGACATATTCAGCAATGTGGAATTCATGAATCGTGTAGGAAGATTCGGCGCTGTATAAGTCATAGTCTCCGTTTAATTGAGTGGGTCATACATACCTTTCTTCGGTAATATCCCGCTTAGTAATTCACATATGCATTTGATATATGCAGCGTAGTGTGATGAGTTCAGTTAATTTGGAACTCGTCTTATTGGTGCGATTTCTATTGCTTGACGGTAACAAGACTCGGGTTCAAACTGATTCTTTACGTTATTTTTCTGCTCGACATTTCGTACTTGATTACGTGATTCGGTACGTTTGAGAATCTGTTTTTAGATCTCGCTTGGACCTGTTGCTAAGTCATCAACTTGTCTGACCTAATTGTTCTTGTACTCTTCGACTACTATTAAAGATTGAAAGCGAGATGATGCGTGGACATACTATATTATAGTGAGGTGGAAAGAGAGATTGTTCACTAAGTGTAAAATGTGGGTGGTTAAGGTTCTGGTTACGTAAGGATCTTACAACATATATATATATATGTATTACATATATATATTATGTTTATGTATTACACACACACACACATATATATATATATATATATATATATATATATATATATATATATATATATATATATATATAAGAACCGTCATAACATTCGAGATAATTTACATAAATCACTCCAAGTTAGATTATCTACTAATCACAGCAATTAGAAACTATTTGATAATAATAAAATTAAATATATAAAAACTTTAGAACTAAGTAACCATAAAGTAAATTTAGAGTATTTAGAAAAAATAGTA